GCCTGCTGCACTCCTCACACCTGTAGGGTTTCTCCCCTGTGTGAGTCCGCATGTGTATCTTTAGATCACTAAGACGACCGAACTGCTTGGCACACTCCTCACACCTGAACACTTTCACACCTTTGTCCTGCCTCCCGGTTTCCTCTCCAGACTCCTCACAGCTTTCTCCTTGCCGGGTGGAAACGGTGTTGGCAGAACCCCCTCCTGATCCTCCTTGCCAGGTGGAAACAGTGTAGGTAGAACCCCCTGCTGATCCTCTCATGATGTCATCCAAACCTTCTATGTTGCCTGTTGTTGCCATGTCAACGACAGCTGGATCAACCTCTGTAAATAAAATGAAACAAGCGATCTATAAAACATGCTGAAATATGTATAGTTGAGTATACGTATAGTACATGTACATGCTATGGTAAAGGGCATGTAAAGAAATGCATGTAAAGTTTATTTATTTAGTTACTAGAACAACTAGCATAACTGAAACTGCTGAGACACCATAAAAGACGGGCAAATAGCTATAGCTGTCCTTACTGTATGTTGTTGCTGATGCTATGCAGCGTCTTTGAGAGTTACATTGCAAAAGTTAAAGTGAACTGTCCCTAGGCCTTCATGCTTATTGGGTGACTTTATACTACAAGCATGGACTTAAATCAAGGGTGTGTGCTTCAGCTTGCTACTATTGTTTGGGCTTGTTTTATACTTTGTTTTTGAACTCGCAGTATCTTGTTTTCGCCAATCTACATTTGTGTATGAATACTGATCTGATATGTTGTGTGTGAAAATGATACTAGAAACAACTAGTAGAAACAACGTAGAAATGTAATGTTACTAAGTTGTGGTAGAAACAACATAGAGAGTAGCAATAAAAAGTAGTATGTAAAGAAATACATAATTAAGATAATTTTTTGGGAAAACATATGTATCCGATTTGTGGAGTCATTTTGTTGTTGAAGCAACCCGGAAGTGCCAGCGAAATGCGGCGTGGATTTTTCCTCTTTTTTTTTTCTTCACAACCTGCATGTTGAAAATATACAAGGACTTAATCCTTTGTCGTAGGAATGACGCTACGTGAGAAAGACCGACTGGAGACTTGAAAAACAGGTTATAATGAGATTAACGTATGCGAAAGGCGCCGACTTCGATTGTTCGTCAGCACATAACAATAGCAAAACAAACAGCGTGTGTCTTTCTTGCCTTGGACGGCGTCCCCGTCTACAGCCACAAAACAAAGAATGTAAATTTCTCTGATTTTTCCGAGTCTCGGCAAAGGGTATATACAATTTTTAATGGGACGGCCTCTGTCCGAGTTTAGGCCGTCAAAAACGACACGAGGCCGTCATATGAGATTAATATGACGGTAGATAATCTCCAAGCAGATCTTTTGGTGGGGGTAAGACAGTATCAAATTGGCCAGTCTGTAACCATTTCCCCACCCATCAAATTGGCCAGTCAGTAACCAATTAGAGTACCCACACAAGGTGGGGAAATGGATACAGACTGGCCAATTTGATACTGACTTTAAATATCCCACCAAAAGATCTGCTTGGAGATTAGGGAAGACGCCACTCTGGTGGAAACGCTCTGTTTACGTTTTTTTCAACTTCCAGGCGGCAGCTCCTTCTACAACAAATTATATGAGAACCGAAAATTCAAACGTAGAATCTAGAAATCTCTCAGAGAATCCCACATCCACACTACGACATTTCTTTTAGCATCTGCTCTGAAACAAGTATATGAATCTTCTTGACTGAATTATAAACAGCACGGCCCAGATCACACGCACACTGGCCCAAACGCACGCCGCCACACAAATATTATGAACCGTTGTTTGCCAACTCTACAAACCCCTGAATACCAACTACATGCCGACTTTTCCTACCTGGAAGTTAGTTGATACACAGTCCGGGCCGAGTCGCCTGTTGAATCGCTGCAAAACTCCTCCAAAGACGGAAAACTGCTCAAGATGCCGCGTCCTTGCGGGACAGGAAGGCGCGATGCCGTGACCCGGAAGTACTACCCAGACGGGATGGGGGTCAGAAGGTCAAGCCTCTTTACCTGATTACCCAACAAATGTACACGGGCCTTGGAGCAAAGGCTGGAGATTGAGGAATAATTTGTGACAGAAAAAAAAGTAATTGATAGTCACCGACCTATTTTTTCACTGCTTTTTTATGTTATGGAAAATAAAAATATATTTTCACAGGGTAATCTACCTTCTAGCTTGTCGATTTAGTTCATGATATGAAGACGTTTAAAAAAGGCTAGGGTCGGACGTTTTTTCTAGGGTCGGTGGGGAAACAGGAAACAACATTTTCTCTAGGCCCACTTGCTGTGACGTCATGGCAATCAGTGGTAATGGCTCAGACCCTGAAACTTCCAATCTACGAATGACTATACTCTAAAATAAAATACAAAACACTGAGTTGAAAGCAGAGTAGTAAAAGGATATAATCAGTAAATAAAAAAATATGGGCTTACACTTCGTCAAGAAAACTTCAACTGGAAAACTAGTACATTCATACATACAAACCTAACGCTAACTCAAGTGTACAATCCGTTCCCGATGTTAGTTACTGATTATGCACAATAGATACTAGTGGATCGAATTTAATGCGATAAAAATAACAACAAAACAACTAAGTACGGCTAACCCAACCGAACAACCAAAAAGGACCTTAGATAACAATACTGTGTTGTACAACATTTAAAGACCAAATACAGAAAAAGCAAAGGCTTTAGAATTAACTGTATGTTACTTAACTTCTCTCAAAACTAAATATTTTGTAACGGCTTTAAAAGTAAACAAAAATGCTAACTATCAAGAAAAGATAAAGGGTCAACATGCTAAAAATAAAACAACAAAATATATCCATTGAACCCTTATTTTCTAAGATAAATATTTGGTACTTCAATCTACAATGACTAAAGAAACTGTGCATTATATATCACCTATAATAGAGGGGAAAAACAGCATAAGGTAAGGTAATAACAGAAGGGATGTTTCCTAAACAAAGGAACTATATGACAAAAATAAAAAGTAACTATAATAAGAGACATGAACAATATATATAT